CCCGCCATATCGGGATCAATCCTCCTGCACTTGTCAAAACAGTCCGCAGCGCTCACACGAATCGTTACGGTTGGCTCCTCCTCCTCCTCCTCCTCGTCCATCACTACCGCTACGTTCTCTGCACGCTTCTTCTCGTCTTGATTTGTTTTCAAATAATCGTTATAGCTAACAATATCATTCACCTCAGGAGCCTTCTTCTCTTCCTTTGCTTGCAGGGTGATTGTAGCCATCCATTCCTCCGGCTGCACGAGGCTGCTACTGCGCCTGAAGAGGGCAACGCCGAGCGCAAACCACAATCGAACGTCGCGAGTGTCGTACGACAAGCCAATACAGAGCGCCTCAACACGCCCCATCGGCGGCCTGTTCGTGCAAAGCACTTGCCGGTACACCTCTTCCTCCGTCGTTGCTCCCTTGGTTCTGATCACCACATCGTCTTCCATGGCAAGAGCCGCGTGATACCACGTGGTAGCAACTGTCGGGTCCAACTGCAACACCTGGCGAAGACAGTCAAGGCGCGTCACGAGACTCCCTCGAACGACGACACGCTCCTGGCGCAGCAACCAATGTGGGCCGTCTGGCGTGTGGTACTGCTCCACACATGAGGAAAGGCAGAGTGCAAGATTTCTCCAGTCCGCAAAATCGTGGCACGACGGCTCCTCAGCATGGTTAAGAGACTCCACCAGACAAGCTGCTTTGCTCAGGGTTGCGTATTCAGGTTGGCGGTAGCGCTGGTTAAACACAAAAGGCTCATTGCACCTCGACGTCACAAATATGAACTCCCCCACATTACCACCCACAGTATTCACTTCGTTCTGTATCTCGTCTGTCGGCAGCAAACTGCGGAGCGACGACGCAGCATCACGCCATATGGTGCTGTCTGTGCAGTGCCGCCTCCCGCCACTACAGCGTATCGCCTCGGCGAAACATTGTGAAGCCGTGACAAGTTCTCCAAAGACAGGAATGGAGCCAACACCACGATTGCCGAGTGCAACGCCGACGGCACGCCATGTACTACCACTATTTCCATTTGACAATTCGAGTGCACGCTGGTACATCTGAAGACTGTGTGGCCGGCCATCATTACACAAGACCTTCTGCACTTGCTCCGCCGCATGCGACTGCAACGGGGGCTGTGTCTCAAGCTTCTCCAGCAGCTGTGCGAGTTGCAAAAAAGCATACGGCGCGTAAAATGGAATCGCGTCACTAAACGGCAAGGACGTTTGAACCGGAAACTGCGGTACCTCCACGGGGTACATCACAACGTGCGCAATCGACTGCTCTAGCAGTGTCACAACCGCATGCAGTTCGGCATCCCCAACACCCTCTGCGCCCAGAAAGCGGCCAATGAGGAAGCAGGCAAATGGGGAGAGACGTTTGCTAAACTCCTCGGGCGTCTTCGCCACTTTTGCGAGGAGTCGCTTGCGAAACGATCTCAGTTCATTTTCCTTGGTGTAGTTTGCATAAGTGAAGAGGACGCCTAGCGAAAATGATTCGCTCAGCTTCTCCACCTGGCGAACCTCACAGAGGGATGACTTCAGTGCTGATAAGTCGCACTGCGGTGCACGCTCAGTCACTTCGCGTATCTGTACGAGCGCATTAGCTCCTTCCGCCACAATCATTTTCTCCACCACCGACAAACCCTCATTCACCAATGAGAGCCGGGTATAGCTAGGCCTGCGAACATTCACAATAGCACGTAGCTCATGGTAAATGGCATCTCGCACTTCATCCAGGATTACTCGCGCTTGCATTCCAAACAGCACCACATCGCTCACCGGCGGTATCGTTATGTTATACCAAGGGCTGTCGTCAGTGTGACTGATCTCGGGAAGCTGGCGATGACACCCCTTGGTCACCAGAATCGGCATCGGTGCCTCTTCACCACCTATTTTAGCAGTTGGCGGTGCTTTGACCGTCTCTTCTGAAATAGGAGGTGAAGAAGGAAGACTCTGGACCGCAACAGACCTTGTGGACAGCGCTTCTTCGCCTTGTTTTTTGGTAGGAGCATACTGACTACCGAAGAGGAAACACATCGCACCAAAAGTGGCAATCCCTGCCGGAACTGCGGCGACTAGTAAAGTCCATTGAGTGGGGCCAACGCTCATTACCTACAGCTCTCGAGTGGTGTAAGCAACGCCGTATGAGTGTGTCTGTATGCTTTTCTTTTTTGGTTTCCCCCTTGAAGGGCCCTTTTCCCCACCGTCAGCGTAGCCGTCGCGTGTCAACTGCCAATCACTTCAACTCGGAAGAAGCCAAGAAAGAGCAAACAAACAAAAAAAGAAACAACACAACTTCTAAGAACCTGAGGCAGCAGGTATCACACTAACAAAAAAAAAAACACTCCTCAGCCACTCTCTATTGTGTGGGTGTGTGTGCTTTTTTTTTGTCTTTCTGCGTACAGACCTCTTTCACACACTTCCATACATCGCGCAGCTCCTTTTCATCAAATGCAGCTCCACAGGTTCCGCGGGTACATCAAACAACTTGCGCTCCCTTGCGTTTTCTCACATCCTTTCGTCACACTGACGCCGAAACGCCCCCATTCTTCTCACGCTGCGATTCAACAGCCCTCGCAGCGGAACCAGCGGGAAAAAACTTGCCCCGTATGGAAGTCTTCTTTCCGTGCCTTCTCTTGAACAGTCGAATCGCTCGTGGGATTTCCTCTGGCGCCACTGGCACCGCGTTTAGTGTCAACAACTGCCTCAGTATGCTGATGACGCGGAAGCGATGCTGGTCCGACTGTGGGAGTTGTGCCAGCTCGTGATGACTCTCATTATCCCACTCATCCATTTCGTGAGAGGCGACAGGCAAGTGCTGAACGCGGCTTCTTGCGGGTGGAGCCGTCATCATTGAGAGTCGCATGCTGTTCAAGCTCGTGCCTATCGTCTGGGACGGTTGTACAGCAATTCTGCTCGCTGCAAAATCTACATCATGTGCCACCTTTGTTTCAATTTCCCCCCGCTGTGTCATACTACTGGAAGATGCGACAGCCACCTCCAGGATGGGATTTTCTTCTATTGTAAGAGTACGGAGGTTGATGAGTTCCGACAGTGTGTTTAGCTCTTCCCAGGCGTGGATGTTGTTGTCAGCCAGGTAAAGCGCCACAAGTGAAGACAAGAACTCAAATCCTTTCAGGCTTTCTACCCGGTTATGCTCCAGATTCAGCGTCTCCATATTACTCCCTAGGTGCATAACAAACTGCGCATTCGTCACCTTGTTGAAGGAAAGGTTGAGGGAACGCACTGTGCCACAGAGAGCAAACGTGTCAATGCGCACTTGCTCAATGTCGTTGTTCCTCAGGTTGAGCCGTGTGAGACTGTGCAGTCGTCTAAAATGGTCGCTGCAGAGCTCTGTGATTCTGTTTTCCGCCGCACTGAAATCCATGAGAAATGGCAGCTGTCGGAGCCCAGCGAGAGATGCGATGTCATTTCCGCTCAGGTTAAGCCGCTCTAGCGTCGTGCCAGATGTCGCAAGGTCATCAAAGACATCGTCGGTGAGCCTATTATTCACAGCAGAGAGGTACACAAGAGAATGCAACTGTCGCAATGGTTTCAGCGACTGTAGCATGTTGTTATCCAGAGAAAGGCGCTGCAGATGTGTGTAAAGGCCCAGCACCTCTATGGAGGTGAGACTGAGGGAGGAGAGGTTCGACTGCGCATACACCAGACGGCCCTCAGCGTTGTGGGCGAGAATAACCAGGGACGCTGTCACGACTTCCGTTGTGAGCGGCCGATCTTCGGGGCGCGAACTGTCGCTTTGCAGTGTTGCAAGCGATGAGACACTGCTGTTTCCAGTCATTATACACTTTCTCTCTCTCTCTCTCTCTCTCTCTCTCTCTCTCTCTCTCTCT